GGGGTTGGGGGAGAAGACTCGGGGGGGTTGCCACGGGAATAGAGCCTCAGCCTGAAGGAAGTAGCAGTGGAGGGGTGGCGCCCACCAAACTCTGGACAAGACAAGCCAGACTCTCACCCAGGGGACCCAACCCGAGCCTGGGCCCTCTGTTCTGTCCCCTTAACCAACCAACCCAGTCCTAGGAAGGAAAGAGGGTTGTTCAGTGCCGGCCCTTCGCCCCAGCCCAGATTGCTAGGGCAGCGCATGGGTTCCAGCGCCCATCACAGGGACCGTCTTGGTCCTATACCTACTTAGCTCCCATCCACCCTCCCCCTGGCTTTGCCCAGGCTCGGTGGATACCCACCCAGAGTAGGGAAGCCCCTCAATGCCCCAGCCCCACCCCCTTTCAGGTCAGCCCGAGGCGAGTCAGCTGCGCCTAGGGCGCACAGTTCCCGAGGGCCCCCGGGCACGGTGGGGAAGCTACCGAAAGTGCCGAGAGAAGCCCTGGTCCTTCCCCATCTGGAGCCGGGGACGACGACGCTGCAGGTGCCGAAGGGCAAGGGCTGGCTGAGCCGGCAAGCGGAACGAGGGCGCGGTGACTCCACGCGCCTCTGCTGGGAGAGAGCGCGCGGCCCCTCCCGAGCGGTCCCAGCCGTCGGCCCTGCGCCCGCCCCTTCGTGGATCGCCCCGCCCCGCCCCTCCCCATCCTACCTGGGGACCCTTTCACTAACTGGGGGATGGGGGAGGGAGAAGGTGGCGCGATTCGAAGCCTTCGAGCTCCCGACCCTGGGCCGCCCCTATTCCCTCCCCAGGAGCCTCTTCCCGGACCTCTTCCGCAGCTGCAGCAGCGGCGCCCCCGGCTTTCCTCACTGTAGAGAGTACCCAACACCAGGCTGCAGCTGAGCCCGGACCTGGCAGTTCAGGGGAAGACTGAACTTTGCCTTTTGTAGAGTTTGGGAAGACTTTCAGGAGGGAATGGTCTTTGCTCTGGACCTCCAGGGCTCAGCAGGAGCAAAGAGAGAAAAAACCCAGGGGGAAGCGTCAGCTGAGAAGAGGCTGGAGATGGAGGCCTTGAATGCCATGGTCAGCAGCTGATACTGCATCCTGGGAGAAGTGGGGAGCCATGGAGAGTTTAAGGATTAAAGGGAGGTGGAGAGACTAGAGGTTTTGGGGATAGATACTAAAAACACAGAAGAGGCAGTGTCTGAGGCCTGGCAGTGAGTGGACGTGAGGAGGGGCTGACCAGGACATGCCCTGCCCTACCACGAAAGAAAAGGTGAGAAGAGCTAAAGGGAAGGAGCAGCAGGTGACAGAAAGGGGTCTGAACTCTTCCTCTGGCCCTGGGTCTGCCACTCCCTGGAAATCAGAGCAGGAGCAGACCCCAGGAAGCCTGTCTGAGGATCCTTTCTCACTGCCAGGGGGCAGATCTGAGATCTGAGGAGCAACTGATAGATTCCAGGGAGCCGGCCAGAGGCATCCGGGGGAGGGCCATCTAAGGGACAACCTTCGAGAATGTCAGCATAAGGCCCACGAATCAACATGAGGTGGCTGCGATCTAGACAGGCTGGACAGGAAGTCCCAGATTTTGCCTCTGCCTTACATGGTTGGGACTGTGGGTACCTGCAGGGGGTACCGCAAATCTGAGTAGCAGTCTCTGGTCCTCTGTCCAGGCCATGCTCCGCAACACACCTCAGCCCACTGTTCCCGGCCCCAGTGAGACCAGCACCCTTCCATGACTTCCCAGGGCTTCATTTCTCCCTGGCACCAGCAGACAGCCAGAGCCAATGCTCACTCATGCTATGCCCTCCCCGCACCTGATCGTCAGCCCTGCCAGGAAGAGAAATATCTGACAACCCTCACAGTGGGCACCGCTCCCTGACATCTGCAGGGTCATGGCTGTCCTACCATGATGGAGCTATTTCTGGTTGTTTTGTACTACAATGGCCCAGCATCCAGAACCAGGCATGCCCAAAGGCTTTGAATACTGTCCACCATGCTGTGGGCAGAGGAGATGCAAACAGAGCAAATGTTCATGTTTGAAGCCAGACATGCTGCTTCAGGGCCTGGTGTCTGCAGGCACAGTGAAGGCACCAGATGACCAGGTGACCCAAGGCAGGATGGGGTGGGCCAGGGGTCAGGCAACAGCTGGACTTAGAAATGCCTACCCCAGCCACAGGGCACTGCCAAAGATGTGTTAAGGTTGTGGTTCTCAACTGGGAAGGTAGGGAGGACGTTTTTTCTCTGGGCTGGTAGATGTCTTTTGAACCTGGACGTCCAGGGCAAAGTCTGGAGACATTTGGCACTGTCTGGAGACATTTTTGTCATCAAAATATGACAACTGGCGAAGGCAGTGCTACTGGCATCTAGTGGGTAGAGGCCAGGGATACTGCTAAATATCCTACAATGCACAGGACAGCCCCTAACAACAGAGTGAAAATTGAGCCCAAACTGTCAATAGTGCCAGACTTGGGAATCCTGCTCTAGGGAAAAAGATCTTTCCTGAAAGAAGCCAGCACTAACCAAGCACTACCACATGCCTGGCCCTCCTCCCTACACAGTCTTGCCGCATTCTCAGCATAACTCTATGATGCTGTTCTCGACACTTATCACTAAAGCAGAGGAAGGCGAAGAGGGTACAGGGCCCCTCACTCTCTGTCCCCAGAATCTCAACTAATTTTTTCCATGTTCAGTGGACAAAGTTCATATATATTGTTTCCTCCTAAGGACCTTGCTGGGAACATAAGGGATTACCAATTCCATTGTATAGATAAACCATAGAGGTTAATTAATCTGCTGCCAGTGCATGGATCTGGGGTTCAAGCTAGGTCTGTAGGATTCCAAACCCCAGCTCCTTCTAAACTGGAGAAGGATTCCAGACTCCTTCTTCTTCTGCCCCAGCTGCTTCCCTCCCCAGCTCTGTCCTCACTCTCCTCAAATATTTCTGAAACCTTAGCAGTCTCTGCTGTTCCCTCCTGGCTACGTCACACTTTCCAAACTGCCTGGCTTGTCCTAATTAGAATGCCATTTTATCACTTCATCAGACTGGGATCCCTTTGGGGACAGACCCAAATTAGGCTCCGAGTTGCAGGATTAGCTGCTGATATAAAGGAAGAGCTTTGGCTTAATTGAGGCTTCTGAGCCATCTCACCCTTTGTAGCAGAGCTGTCCAAGGGAACATGGGCACATTCTCAATGTACGCTGTCCCTGGTAGCCAGCAGCTTTCTGTGGGTATTGAGTGCTTGAAATGTAGCCAGTGAGATGAAGAAGCTGAATTTAAATTTTATCGAATAACAGTTACTTTGAAGTAATCGTGCATGGCAGTGGCTTCTATGCTGGGCAGCCGAGCCTCACTGTCTCATGTCTCCATTTTTCTTCTCCCCAAGCCATCTATTTGGCCTGGGACTGGTCCTTGGACTGCCCTTTGCAGAGGCCACAGCCTGTCTGATATCACTGAGTTCTAGCCTTTGTGAAGAGCTTTGGCACGCACACGCACGACACATCCATTTCTTCCCCTACCACCCTTAGGCTGCTCAGTCTCTCATTTAAACTTTGTCTCTGCTCTTTGTGGTGCCTGAGAACAGAGCCGTGACTCTCTGTGACCCTTCATCCCATGTCGGGTGCTTCGTAGCCAGGCCAAGCGTGAACCCTGGGCCAGTGTGGCACTGTCTCACCCTCTGTGAACTCTCCTTGGGGACTGTCCTCCCACTCCCACAGGATGCACTGCCTGGCCCCACAGGTCGCTGAGCCATCACGCTGACACCTGCTGCCCCCTTTGAGGAGCCTGCCCTGACTGCCCTGGACTGAGTTAGCCAGAAGCTCCCTTTCAGCTGATACTTAGCTTCCGATTGCCCTAACTGTGGCTGGGACTCTCCATGCCCTCTCTGAGCTCTCTCCAGGGAGCTCTATTCTGGGGTCACCATGCCATCCCTAGAGCCCACCCACAGTAGTGTGCTACTGGCCAGCCCTGAGTGGGGGAGGGGTGGAAAGTGATAGGGATGGAGAGTGGGGGGTGGGGTTGAAGCCCCGCTGCCAGGGTAACCCTCTCCCTACAGACCCAGCTGGGCACCGCCCCCTCCTCAGGCAGCCTCCCCAATTTTCCTGTCGCACTTGACACGCTGACAAATGAGGCTGCTGTTTCATCCTCCTCGGCAGTGGCAGTGCCCCGGGGAAGCTGTCGGACTGGGCATCCCCAGGTGTCCTGGGTTCTCCCCTCCCAGGCTCTAAATCGAGCATGCCCAAGCGGGCGCCCCCTCCTCCGCCCTTCCCGACCCGCAGCCGGGCTACCGGTAGCTTGGGAACAAACTGTAACCGGGAGAGGCCGGCGTAGGGGCTGTCCTGAGAGGCAAGCCCGCAGGCTGTCCGGGGACAGGAGGCAGGGACAGAGCCAGGCAGCACCGAAGGGAGATGAAGGGAAGCGAGAGGGCCTCCAGCTGAGTCCGGCTGTCAGCATCCTGGAGAGAAGCGTGCCAACTTCTCCGGGGACGCCGGGGACGCCGGGGCTGCCTGCGCGCCCTAGTCAGCCCTGGTGGGGAGGGGCGGGGCAGGGCGGGGGACTACCCACCCATCACCTCCCCGAAAAGCCCTCAGTGCCAACGCATCGTCTCCGCGGCAAATTTGGCTCTAGAAATAACTTTTTTCCCTTTTCCTTATTTCCCCAGCAAGGGGCAGGCCCCTTACTCACCCCAGGCAGCTCATGGTGGCCTCTTTCGGTGGCCGCCTATGCTCCGCTGCAGAGCCGAAACGGCCAGGAGACAGAATAGGAAGAGAAAGCCCAGCAGGATCCGGGTAAGGAAAGCATCCCTTGGGTTCAGAGGGGGCCAATGGAAGCTGGACAGGCCTGAAGCCCGGGAAGGATGGAGGTGGGAGCACTAGATTTCTGGGTCACTCCAGGTGAGGACCACCAGGAGATAGCCCCCCCACCCTAGAATAAACTTAAAAGATGAATCTAAAGCGGAGTAGAAGAGCAAAAAGTTGCTGTGTGGCTTTGGGCCCGCCTTTCAACCTCTCTGAGCCTCAATTTGCTTTTGTGAAATGGGGTTAGTAATAGCGCTGGGGGAGATTCAGTAAGTGTATTCCTCTAGGAGCTGGTGAGGTCCTTGGTACACACTCATCATCATCAAAAGGCAACAAGAGGGCAGGGAACGTGCGCACGCACATACACACACACACACACACACACACACACGCACATTGTAGGGTGGGGGACAGGGGTCAAGGATCCACATAATATAGTCAGGATCCTTGCTTTCACATTGTACCATTACTCCATCTCAGTAAAGAATTGGGAGAATCTTGGTAGCCTGTTGGAGATTCCTTTCTTTCTTTCTGTTTCTCTCTCTCTCTCTTTTTAGTTTGCTATAGGGAGTGTGCATTCACTGGGGGAGAGAGAGAGAGAAACAGAGAAAGTGAAAGTGAGAAGTCACTCTCCAGGGGAGGATGGCCATGCCACAATCTCTTCTCCTACATTCTTCCTTCAGGCTTTTGGATTTTGGGCACACACACATGTGTGTGTTTTTCAAGCTGCCAGGTCTAGGACTCAACCACACAGATGGTCATGTGGGATCCAGCCACCTTAACCACCATGCAACCTGGCTGGCCTGGAGATTTTTTTACTTTACTATTTTTTTTTTTTTTGAGAGTTTTTTTGCTATAGGGCACGTGCGCTCGCCAGACAGACAGAGAGACAGAAAGCGAGAAATCATCTCCCAGGGGGGATGATCACAACACAATCCCTTCTCCTCCATTCTCCTCTAGGTATCTTGGGCACGCACGCACACGCGCCCGGAGTGAGTTTTAAGCCACCAGGTCCGGGACGCAAACCCCGGTTGACTACGTGGGAGTCCAGCGACATAGCCATTACGCTAACTGCTGGTCCCCTTTACTACTTTTTTTTAAGTTCATTCATGCTTTTCTGAGAGAGAGAGAGATTCCTAACAGGGTCCCCACAGCACTATCCACCTCCAATCCAAATCAGCCAGGATTATGGGGTTGCTCATGCCTCCTGCATGTACAGGGGAGCTCCAAGATACAAACCCAGACCTTCCCGTGTGGGTCCAGTTGTACTACCATCTGGCCCCTGGAGAGAAGTTCTATGATCTGAGTTTGGAGTGGAGCAGAGCAGACTGATTCTTCAGATCAGAAGATGGGTCTTTTCTGAGGCCTGTTCCAGCCCTGCTGTTAGCAGCCATTCCCCATCACTCAAGGTGCTGCTCTGGCATCCAGTAGAGCCAACAGCTGCCCTCCCAGGGCTGCCCTTCAGGGTCACTGGCCCACCCTGGGTTGGAGTTTTGTTGAGATCGAGTTCAGGAGGAAGCCATCATCTCCAACCTGGGCTGGCAAGGGGGCTAGAGTGGCAGTGGGTAAGTGAATAGCTTGAGTGAGACTGGCCTGCCTGCCCATCATGCCCCTTACTAAAGTACCTGAGGTTGTCCAGGAGTGGTCCACAGGCCTCGCGTGGCAGCGCCAGGGTGAGAGCCCACACCAGGTCATCCACCCGCTGCTCGGTTGCGAACTGCTTCAGAGCAGTGAACACCTGCTCCTTGGCTGTTGGCTGGTCCCCCAAGATTTCATCCACCTGTGAGAAGGAGTCCCAAAAGGGATCCAGAGTGGAGCCATGGGGGAATCACTCACATCCCTCTCTTCCTCCCTCAGTTTACCTCCACAGAGCTTCTGTGGGAAAGGCTGTTGGGAGCGTTTTACACATAGCGCTCCGCATCAGACCTGACGGCTGCCCAACCAGGAGGGCATGATTAGCATCTTCGCTTTTTTTTTTTTTTGGAGAGGTTTTCACTATAGGGCACGTGCGCTCGCCAGACAGAGAGAGACATAGAGAAAGAAAGCGAGAAATCACCCCCTGGGGGATGGTCACGCCACAATCCCTTTTCCTCCATTCTCCTCCCAGGATCTTGGGCTCAGCACACAGTGTAGTGAAAGGGAGTGTAGTATTATAATAATAGTAACTAGCAATTACTGAGTGCCTGGTGCATTTTAAGCTCTTGTATTGATTCCTTTGATCCTTAGAATATTCATGAAATATTCTGTCTCTGGTTTCTTTCTGTTTCTCTCTCTCTCTCTCTTTTTTTGGTTTGCTATAGGGAGTGTGCACTCATGTGCCCGGCATGAGTCCTAACCATTGGGTCCAGGACGCGAACCGTGGTCGACTACGTGAGAGTCCAGCGACATAGCCATTATGCTAACTGCTGGTTCCCCAGCATCTTCACTTTACACCTAAGGAAAATGAGGCTGCTAGAGGTGGGGTGATTGGCAAGAAAGGAATTTGTGGGAGTGACTGTTCATAGAATCAGTGCTGGTTGCAAAGTTACAGGGTCCGGATTCAAACCCAGAGACAGAATATTTCATGAATATTCTAAGGATCAAAGGAATCAATACAAGAGCTTAAAATGGACAGCATTCCAGAAGGCAGCTTGTTCGGTGTGTCTAAAACTTAGACCCTTTTCCTCAACGATCTCACATCTCGAAACTTATCCTAGATGTGTCCTGAGAAGACAGGTGCACAAGGATGTAGGAGTGAGGGGGCTCATTGCTATAATACTGAGATTACGTTTGTTTGGTCAGCCCCTGATAGGCCTTTAGGTAATTTCCTTCCAGAAAATAAGAAGATGGTTGCAGCAGCCTTTGGCTAGAATCCTCCGGCCAGAGATCTCCCTTACTGCCAGCCAACACCCATCAAGGGCTGATAAGTTCACAGTGGCAAGTAAGCTAATCAAAGTATCCATCCACCACTTAGCGACCCTACCCCTCCACTCTTCCCATACAAATACATCACATCCCCTCGGTAGGGTGGGCCAAAGCACCTAGGCTTCAGACCCCAGGTGTTTTTTCCTCTCAATAAACTTTCATTTCTCTCTCTCTCTCTTTATTTTTTTTAGAGGTATTTGCTATAGGGCACATGCACTCACCATAAAGACACAGAGAGACAGAGATACAAAGAGACAGAAAGCGAGAAATCACCCCCCCCAGGGGGGATGGCCACGCCACAATCCCTTCTCCTCCATTCTCCTCTCAGGATCTTGGGCACGCACGCACACGCGCCCGGTGTGAGTTTAAGCTACTGGGTCCAGGACTCTAGCTGCGGTCAGCTACATGGGAGTCGAGCGACATAGCCATTATGCCAACTGCTGGCCCCCCTTTTTCTCTTGAGATAGCGCCTCCTGGGTCTTACTCTGAAACCTAACAATGTTGGAAACAATATGTTTGACAGTAGAGGCTAAGTAACTGCAGCACATCCATATAGGAGCTATTTGTAGTTTCTTGGTTATACAGCCAAAAGGAGAGGCAACCTTCAACTAGGTGCGAGGCAAGATCCTGGTGGACTTATTGTAGCTGTCACCAATTGGAGGCTCTTGCCCGGAACTTTAGCTCTTAAAGGAATGGTGCAAAAATGCTGGGGACAGCAAAGGTGGGTCAAGATAGTGACAGAGCCCCACTGTGTGCCCTGAACAGACTCTTCCTGAAGGGTGCTTTAGGATAGGTGTGCCCTTAGTTGCTGTTTCTTTGTTGGTTCTAAGCCTGGGTCCTTAGTGCTGATTCTGTGAACTGCCCCTCCCACAAACTTCTTTCCTGCCTGTTAGCAGAGTTAACTTCTATCATTTTGCGGTGAAATACACTTTGCACTGTGTAATATTGTGTAACATTGATCCTAGGGTGAGCACTATATTTGAATATTTCTGAAATCTGAGTGCCTAGCACATTTGTAGTACCTCTGATGTGTCTTATTGCTGGTTGTCATTTCTGTGTATACGTGAATTTGGTCATAGATGTTTATGTGTTCCTTCAACTTAGCTATGTGCATTGTTGGTACTATGTCCACGTAAGTCTAAAACCCTCTTTCAGTAACTACTGAAGTGATAAGAAGGTAATAAGGGAGCATGTGCCATGGGTTAATTGGCAGAACATTTTGTTTCCTAGCAGTCAATAAAACAACAGCAGATCTTGCAGTAGATGGTGCTTTAGATCTAGGCAGTGTGGTCCCATTTGACCAATGGGAATGATACTGTCAATCTTTATTTTAAATCATGAAATGAGGAGTGACAGCTAAGGAGTGCAAGATTTTTTGGGGGGGAAAGAGCAGGTGATCAAAATGTTCTAAAATTGATTGTGGTGATGATTGCACAACTCTGTGAACACACTCAGAACCACTACATTGCACACATACCGCACAGTGAAGTGTAAAGTGCATATTGCCTGGGAGCGCTCCCTTGCTAGTTGTGGGTCTGGGGATGTTTGTGAGCACTGACTTCCTGAGCTGGCCCTGAAGCAGGGGTGGGTGGCCAAGGAAGTCAGCCATCCATCTCCTCCACAGGCTTTGGGATACGACTTCAGCTCAAACTGGCAGGTACCAGCTCTCTCACCTTCCATGCACCTCCACGGTTCTCCACAGACTCTGCACGCTTCACCTCCATCCTTGTACTCTCAGAGGAGGAAGAGCCCCCTTCCTGCTCAAGGCCAACCCATTAGGCTACAGACACCCCACCATCCCCCATCCCCATTCTCTTTTCTTGCCACCAACTTGTCATATAGCTCCTGGCTCCAAGTCGCCTCCCCAGGGAGCCTTTTTTTTTTTTTTGGAGAGGTTTTCGCTATAGGGCGCATGCGCTCGTCAGACAGACAGAGAGAGACATAGAGACAGAAAGCGAGAAATCACCCCCCGGGGGGATGGTCATGCCGCAATCCCTTCTCCTCCATTCTCCTCTCGGGATCTTGGGCACACACGTACACGTGCCTGGCGTGAGTTTTAAGCCACCGGGTTCGGGAAGCGAACCGCGGTCGACTATGTGGGAGTCCAGCGACATAGCCATTACTTCAACTGCTGGTTCCCCCCAGGGAGCCTTTTTCTGACCACTTTGTCAAAGTGGCCCCCATCACTTTCTCACCTCCCTGTCTATTTCTACATCTCTTTATTATTATTATTATTATCCATAACAGCTTGTCTACTGATATGTCCAGTAGACAAGTTGGACACATCAAGATCTTATTGGATCTTGCCCCACAGGAAGCTGGGTGAGGTCAGGCTCCTTGTTGGTCTTGTTTGTGGCTGTTTCCCTGGTCCTTGCACATTGCAAGTCCATATTCAATGGCTATTCAATGCATGGTTTTCAATATTTCTACCGACTCCTTCCATGTAGCTTATATAAATGTTTGAATCTCTCTCAAGCTGTGAATAAATAAATAAAGTCCCCCTTTGACCCCACAGCCCAAACTTTCTCTTCCTTTTTCTAGCTTAGAGCTGTTTATTCTTTTTATTTTTTAATTGTCAGAGGGTGCGTGCACTCACCAGAGAGAGATAGAGAGACATAGAGAGAGGGAGAGGGAGAAAGCACTTCCCAATGGGACATGGTCATGCTATAATCTCTTTGCTTCCATTTCTCCATCTCATCTGCTTTTGGGGCATGCATGCAAGCCACCGGGGCTGGGATTTGAACTGCAAGGTCAGCCATGTGGGATCCAGCTCCCTTAACCACTAGGCCAGTAGAGAGTTGTCTCTATTTGCTATTTCCATACCACTGTCCTTAACCTCTACAGTCCCCTCCTCCACATGCAGCACTTCATGAGTCTGCTCTGACCAAGGATCTTAAATGTTGATTCCCACATCTTGATCTTCAGTCTAGAACCTGCTCCTGAATTTCAGAACTGTATGTCCAATTGCTTTCTAGATGGCTCCACGAGGGGACTAAGGAAGACTTTCCAGAGAGGCGACACTAGAGAGGATGAATAGGCATTAGCAGGGGCTTTGAAGGTTTCTGCTAGAGGTCACATTCTGTGCATGTCTGAGTCCTGGCACATGTACACCATTAGTCTGTAACAGTCTGTCTTCCCCACCAGATATGACAGCTTGAGGTCCGGCTACTGCCCAGTCCCATACACAGGGCCTGGAGCACAGCAGGCTCTCAGGGCATGTTTATGAAACTGAATCAAAGGCAGCATTGTGTTGCATTTCCTGCAGGTCCCCAGTTGACCTGTTCCCCTCCTGGTGGGTAGGACAGTCTGTAGCACCAGGAGCCCCCTCCTCATGTACCCACCATACCATGAAGAGGTGCTGGTTTGGAAATCAAAGTCAGCAGTAGCCTCAATTCAAAGGAGAACATGGCTAGCTGCAAAGATGTTTTATGTAAGAAAGAGGAAAAAATAGTTCCTTCCTCCTGGGGCCCATGCCACAGTGCGGTATCGGTGTCAGTTATTACCCAGATGTTCTCAACCTACATCTAAGCATGAGGCACCATCACGGGACACTAATGGATTTTCTATTAAATATCAGCTACTTCAAGGAGGAAAAACTGGGGCAGGCAGAGTGTTGGCAAAAACCTGGAGCTTACTGAAAACCAACGGGTGTCCCACAGAGACCCTTTAATCTTCCCAGGGTAGTCTTTTTTGGGATTCACTGTCAGCTATTGGGTGTGCTTGGCGAGTCCTAAACAGAACCCAAATCCACTATTCCCCACTCCTTCTTGCCAGAAGACGTACCACAGCTGACCTGAGCAGCCTGTCAGATCCCACCCTCACTGGTTGACAGCCCAGTCCTGCTTCCTGGCCAGGTCTGCATATCCACCCTGCCCTACTGGGGCTCTGATTGTGCCTCCTTCTGACTCTGCAGTAATTATATGGAGCCTGGTACAGGCCCTAGGCTCTATAGTAGGCATCTGAGACTATAACAGTAAGGCCTGTCTTCACCAACATTTTAGTTCTCCACACACTCCCATACCCCCATTTCTGGACACACAGAAGACTACATTTCTCAGTGCCCCTAGGGAGCAGCAGTGTGGCAAGTTCTAGCCAATGAGCACTGATTGAGGTGCCATAATAAAGGCTGATGCACAATCTTCCAGGCTGTCTTCCTCTTCCATGGCAAACCCGAAGCTTCATGTTGAGGTGAAGGTGTCTAAAATGCTGAGACCTCGTGTGGACATCAGATACTGGAAAATTGCCTTTATCCCTAGAGAACTTTGGGTGAAAAGTAAACTCCTGCAGTGTAAAGGCAATAAGATGTTGATTTTGTTTGCTCTAGCAGCTGAGCTTATTCTGAGCATAGGGAGAAAGATCATTTGAGGAGCTGGACATTAGTGATGCAGGGAAGCCATGTGAGTGAGCGTGTGTATCTGGCTACAGAAACTGGTCTGCTCAGGGTCGTGGGACTGAAAGGCCCAAACAGGGGATCATGTCAGGATACATGATAAAGAGGAGGCTCTGGAGGTGGACAGTTTACAAGGAGTAAGGACGGGACCAAGCTTGAGTGCTGGAGGAGGCCAGAGTGGGTGGGAATCTGACACCTGGGCACTGAGCTGGGAGTAATTTCAGCAAGAGCCATACTTTGACAGAGATGCTAGACCCCATAGCCTCCCAATCCTCAAATGGGCAGGGCCAAGAAATTTCTCACAAGTTTGTGGCGTCCTTGTCATCAAGAAGACATGGAAATTCCAGGCTAGACATCCACATTGGAACTAAGCCCTAGGTGGGGGTGAGGAATGGAGTGTCTGAGCCCCAAAGTGTTTCCTGGCCATACCCACAGGTTCGCTTTTTGTTTCACTTGAGTCTCAGCAAAACTAGGGTCTGGTGACCATCTCTGGTAGCTTGGAAGGATAGACATTTGTAAGCAAGTGGCTTGTTGTACTGAGACATTGGTAGTGGCCTGAGGTAGATTTGACCTACTGGGCAACCTCTTTCTCCGTAACTATATCACATTCTAGATTTCTCAGGTTTTCTTGAGTAATGGCTATGTTCCTGCAAATCAGTGGTTGCTCAGGATTCTGGTCTGAGGTTAAGTCCATTCTCTGTTTTCCCTTTTCCAGTTCTGGATCTCTGAGTGGTGCTTTTCTCTTTCTCTCTCTCTCACTTGCCTCCTGTAGGTGACTCAGACCTTGTGCTCCTTTCTGGCTGGAGGCATCACTCATTCTAGGCTCCCGACCCTAACTTTCCCAGAGTCACCCTAACATTCCACCTGCAACCATTCAGAGTCCATGTGTACCAAAGTCTGACAGGAAGTGTCTTTGGAAGATTGAGAAATCCAAACTAGAGCCACTTGTAGTCCAACAGCCAGTTGAATTGTTGCATAAGGCCAGGCTGGATCTTTTTATTTTTTTAAGTTTTTTTCAGTTAATTTTATTCATTTATTTATTCATTTGTTTATTTTAATTTGACCAGAGAGGGAGAGAAAGAGAAGAAGAGAGAAAGGGAGAAAGCAAGCTGCCAAGTCCAGGACTCAAACCATGGTCAGCCATGTGGAAATCTAGCACCCTTAACCACCATGCCACCTTCTGGCACCCAGGCTGGATCTTCTTTTTTTTTTTTTTTGGAGCCCAGGCTGGATCTTAATTTTGTAGAGCTTAGAACAGGTATAGCTCTTTCAGAGATTTTTTTCTTATTTTATTATTATTTTAAAACAATTATTTATTTTATTTATTCATTCATTCATTTTAATTTGGCCAGAGAAAGACAGACACACGAGAGAAGGAAAGTGAGAAAACAAGCCACCACGTCTGGGACTCAAACCATGGTCAGCCATGTGGGAGTGTCCAGTGTCTTAAACCGCACCACTTGCTGCCCTTTCTTTTCTTTTTTTTTTTAAAATTAATTAATTTTTAAATTGTTCTTATTTTTAAAGTTTAACTTTATTTATTTATTTATTTTAATTTGACTAGAGAGGGACAGAGTGAGAAAGAGAGAGAGAGGCAAAGTGAGAAGCAAGCTGCTAGGTCCAGGACTCAAACCGTGGCCAGCCATGTGGGAATCCAGTGCCCTTAATCACCACGCCACCTGCTGACTCCAATTAATTCATATTTAATATTTTATTTTATTTTATTTATTTGGAGAGGGTTTTGTTTTTGTTTTTGTTTGTTTGTTTGTTTGTTTTGTTGTTATTTTTTGGTATCTTGGGCACGCACGCATACGCACCTTGTGTGAGTTTAAGCCACTGGGTCTGGGACTCTAACCACGGTTGACTACATGGGAGTCCAGTGACATAGCCATTACACTAACTGCTGGTCCCAAATATTTTATTTTATTTGAATGTAATTGTTGTACATCATTGTGGGGCACAGTATGGATTGTCAAAGCTTGTGGGGTGCAACCATCCAGACAAGGATAAAACCATATTCATTTTCACGGCTTTTTTAGAATTATTTATTTTACTTTTATTATTACTATTATCATTATTATTAATTTGACCAGAGAGAGAGAAAGTGAAAAAGCAAGCTGCCTGATATGGACTTGAACCATGGTCTACCATGTGGGAGTCCACCACCTTACTCACCATGCCACTCCACGGCCCCTCCATGGCTCTGTTTTTTTTTTTTTTTGAGAGGTTTTCACTATAGGGCTGGGGCGCTTGCCAGAAAGACGGAGAGAGACAGAGAGACAGAGACTGAGAAATTCCCCCCTCTCCCCCCCCCCCGTGGGGGGGATGGTCACGCCACAATCCCTTCTCCTCCATTCTCCTCTCGGGATCTTGGGCATGCATGCACACGCACCTGGCGTGAGTTTAAGCCACCAGGTCTGGGACGAACTGCGGTCGACTACGTGGGAGTCCAGCGACATAGCCATTATGCTAACTGCTGGTCCCTTCATGGTTCTTTTAACAAAAGAACATTGTCCTAGTAATAGGTGTTAGAAAGAATCTTCTGTTACCCATACATAACTTTTTCCCTTTCTGTCTCCCTATCTCTGTCTCTCTGGCGAGCCCACGTGCCATATAGCAAAAATCTCTCCTAACAGAAAAAAATTACAAAATTAGGTACAAGACTTAAAAGCTTGAGCATCATTTTATTTCTGGTAAATCTAACCCCAGAAATTTCCTCAGCTCGTGAGTTTGGGAGTGCAGCATCCTATCACCAGCACC